AACGCCGCCCTGCACTGTCCACCGCGCCCCGGCTCTCGCCGACGCAAGCCGCAAACGTCGCTGCCTCTCCATTGCCGTCGCCTCCCCGGCCGTCCCCGTCCCTGCTGCCCCCGCCCCCGCGAGGTCGGTGGCAGCCCCCGCCATCGCGGTCACCGTTGCCGCCCCGTCATCGACGCCCCGCGTCGCCATCCACCCGCGGCCGCCCCGCTCCCGACAGCCGCCTTCGCCGCCCCCTCCGCATGGTACACATCCTGATGAGAGAACGGTCATATTCCGCAGGCCGGCTAGTGAAATGTATTTTGGGCGGCCGGGGGCCTGGCGGGCGGTGGCGGGCAGCTGCGAGGGCGGCCGCCGCGGACGGCGGGGGGGCGGGCGTGGCAAGTGGCGGCGGGCGGCAGCGGCCGGCCGACAATCAATACGGGCCAAGGGCCCTAGGACGCAGCCATTGGTCGGTGCGAGTGTGCGCACCCCGCTCCGCCGTTCGCCGCTCGCGACGGCACACCTCCTTCGAGCGTCGCGCGCCCGCGAGCCGTGCGAAGGAGAGTGAATACGGTGGCGCCGACTCCGAACACAGCTCGCGACGTCGGCGGCGCAGGCGAGAACGGGTGGCGGCGAGATGAACGTTGCTAGTAGCGCGCAGGGTGGTGGAGACTGTGAAAGGGAGTTGTTGTGGAAGGGGAATCGAGAGATGAACAATTGATGCGAAGGCTGCGTTGGCCACAGACCTGGGCGATGCCTGTGGAACGTAAGGGGTGATGCAAGGCGGCTGTGTGGAGATGGCGGAGGTGAAGGGGATCGCACAGTTGAGAGAAGAGCTGCGATTCGTGGTGTCGATAATTGGGGGGGGGGGTAAAGCGAAGGATGAGTAAGATGTCGGTGTGGGTGCGATAATTGCAGTTTGCAATGGCAGATGCAGAAAGAATGGCTGGTTAAACGTATATGTTATGTCGCTGTGTGAATACTAGAGGCGGTGGGACCGTAGGGCTATTGCAAAACGGTGCGGCGTTTTAGACGATGAGATGACAATAAAGAGTCGTTTAGACGAACAAGTCGTGAACGTACCTTGTGCCTGTCGTAAATCTGTCGCTGCTGGCGCCTTCTTCCCCGTTGAGCGATCAGTGAGGTAGCATCGACGACCAATTTACAGCTGGCGCATGTGCCCGCGAATGCGTAGCGTAGTAGGGGGTTAGAAAGAGTTGGAGATGCAGAATAGATGGCAGGGACTGGATCAAAACGTAAAGGTTGGGACCCTATAAGTATGGTAGAAGCGGTAGAGACGGCCCAGCTGATTGAACAACGCAACGGTTTTGGCGTCCGTTGGTAGGCGAGATGACTTTCTAGATGAGCGATTATTTCGTGTTTTCGGGCGCGTCAGCTGGTATGATCATTAGTCCTGTAAGTGTGGTGTATGTTTTTACCACGGGGTGAGTTAATAATCCGCTGGACGGTGTGATCCGTCCTACACATCGTCTTGCGAGGTTTTCCCCATTCCGGTATCTTTTACTAGCGGGACACCGCCCCTGAACAAGCTTTAATTTCCCGACTGGTCCCCGATACGTGTGGTAGTATAATCGTGAAAGTAAGTAAGTGGGACGGGTGAGGATAGGACAAGGAAGAGGAAGGAAAAATCGTGCGTGGCCCGTTTGATAGGGTACTGCTCCGGCATTCGCCAGGTATTGATCGTAGAAACCACGGAATCAGAGCCGATCAGAGTAGCCGGCCGCTAGAATTCTCCTGTCAGCGGATTAATTCGACCTAGTTCATTCATGTCAAGTTTTCCAGGGCTGCGAGGTAAGAGACACGAGAGAGGAGAAGCCCACCTCGAAATCTAAGCGATGAGACCGGGACGTTTTAATATATGCACTTTGAATCACGTAAGCTATTGTTTTGACAGTCACTTCTGCGAAGTTATATTGCGGGCGAGATCAATAACATTTAGAAATGATTCGCTTTCCTTTCACAAGCGTTTACTTGGACTGGGCTAGGACTGGGGCGTACTTTAATTTTTGTCCTTCCGCCAACTAGAAACTTCCCACGAAACCGATGTATTTACGTAGCTAGATTGAAAGAAAAGAACACATTAAATATTTTATTTTAACCAACTTTTCTTCAACGGATTTTTCATTTAAGAGTCGGTTTATAAGAGTGGGCCTCCTACCTCCTACCTCCGTCCTCCTACCTCCGTCCTCCTACCTCCTACGTACTTTGAAATTCAATATCAAAGAATTGATATTGAAATTTTAATATGCTTTTTGACTTGGTTTCCTTTGATCTTACCATTTATTTATGGACGATATATCGGCTCAAACTAAATCCCCCATGAAAGCTATTCCTAATCCCCAAGTGCCCTCTCTGAACTGGCACTTCAAGGTATCAGCCGGTGCTCCAGCGCATACGGCTGGCGGAAGAATACATTTCGCAGAGCGATGTGCTGCCAGCCGATGATACTTAATTGGTTTGGAACCTGTGAAAATAATCCACCAGCCTGAACGAAGCCTACAGAACACTGAGCAGTTGGGCGCGGCGCGACCTTGCACGGCACGGCTAGGCATGGAATGAGGCGGTACTGTGTGGGGTCGGTGGAGCCGTGGCGCAGGGCGACCGGGGAGGCGATGGCAGCGGGCGACGTCTTGGCGCGGGGCGGGGCGGGGCGGGGCAGGGCAAGAGGCGAGGCGAAACAAAAGCTGCAGCCCCCGCGCTGTGTATCGGAGGGCGGCGCGCCGCTCGCGGCCTGCGGGCTCTGTCGGCCCGCGACTACAGCGCACTCAAACGGCGACATTGCGCGGCGGCCGGGCTGCCGAGACTGTCGCTTGGGGCTGGCCCCTCGCGCACTGCCACGGGATCGATGTTCAACGGAGCAAGTTTGCGACTGAGGTGTAGTCAGAAAACGTGCGGATGGAGTGATTTTGTTTATGACTGATATATTCGATGTACGTTAACAAGAACACACAATAGGTGAAGCTGTTTTATAAATGTTTATGTTGGCTATTACAATGTACCTTCAGTAATTTTTCTTCTTTTTTTTTTACCTTTTTTGTTTTGTTTGAGACCAATCTTATTATGGTATTGTGCAAGCCATAATGCATACAATATGTGTTTCTTCTGAGATTTTCACTGTTTCAGCTTTTAAGCTCGTTTTCTTTAGTACGTTTCAATTCCAAATATAAACGAAATAACACTATCCATAGATTTACATAAACAACTTTGTAGAACAAAATAGACTGTTACATAAGACTTCGACACTTTTTCCTCTCCACATTTCTCGGCGTGCATAACGTGGATCAACTAGCCTAATCTCATGGCGTGTAGTTGATCTCAGTCATGGGGAATGGTATTCTAAACTTTTACGCGGTGTGGTACTTGAAAAAGTGGTGTAGGGTTCCATATTTCTCAGCATTGACTACTTGCTGGAATAGCTCAGTCTCAACAATCGTTGCCTCTGAAGGGTCTCTGATCGGGAGGCCCTAGGATTCGAGTTGCTATGGTGGCTGACCTTAGACACTAGTTTCTAGTATTCCACCAACTATAGGCCTCCCCCATAACTTCTAAACCGTTTACGATATTGTAATGCAGTTTTCGCTCAACACTGAGGAATCATGAGGCTGGTAATATGCCGTAGATAGAGTATATTTTTTGTAATGGTTTTAGTTTCTGAGCCATTTAATCATCTTTGATTTTTGAAATAAAACTATATATTTTCTTAGTAGCAATGATTTGCCCATAAAAAGAGGAATGCAATATTTGTGAATATTTCGAATGTAATTTGAGTATAAAATTATACTTTCTGACATGTGATTTTAAATTAAACAGCCAAAATTTTCTTTAGTAACCCTTGCAACTGCCGTTTCTGGGGAAGGTGGCGGTCGCGGCACCGACACTGTTTGAGGAAGAGGAGGGACTGAGAGAGGTGGCAGTGAAAGATACATTTGCAATTACAGGAATCCATGGTCTTGACACGGCACAGGAACATACGTCAACATTAACGATCAGAATAAGAACTTTTTTCCAATGATTCATCAGAATTTAAATTTTCAGATTGAAATTCCAAAGCATCTATTTAGAGCGCGAGGCAGTTCGTCGGCCCTTGCACATCCGACTGTCTCATCCTTGTCCCCTCCTCCCGCCTTACATACACTACTCTGCCACATATGTCGAGAGCTTCGAGTTTGTCCCGGCTGGGGCGGTGCCCCGCTGGCGGAGATACTTAGGTGGAGAAAACCCTGCAAATTTACATGCAGGTGTAACGTATTAGCCAGCGTGCCTCATGGCATCTATTGGGGGACGCTTGGTAAGGGATTAGTAAAAATATTTACAATGAATTTCCTTCTTACACCCTAGCTCTGATACACCTACTATCCCTTGATCGTGGGAGCGATCCAAACCCGATTGATGATCGGATTCGATTGTGGCATTCGCCACGAATAATAAATAAATCCCGCTCAAGGAATTCTTGTACAAATCGGTGTTTTTTGTCAAAAAATAACTTATTCATGGGTGGGATCATATTTTCATCAAATGCAGATATCTATAACACTCGACATATTGATCATGTTTGTCATGTATCAGTATGAAGAGGTCAGTGAAAAATCACATACCATACATTGCAAGATGACATTAAATAATTAAAATCGATAGACACGTTTAAGTGCCTAGTGAAAATTTTTTTGATGCATCACTGTTTCTATGCAATTAGACGCTATACTGAGCATCAAAAAGGGGAAAATATTGGTTCTTAATAATGATATTTAATGTATTGATTACATTTAGACTCTGATTCTAAAAGGCTAAGTATATCTGTAACAGGTATTGCACCTCACGTTCTGGGTCAATGATCCTCATTTCGATCTGGTTTTTCGTCAAGTTTCCCTAATTATTTGAGCAAATGCTGAGATGACCCCATGTTTTGCTTCTGTACATAATTGTAGCTTCACAATTTGTGCAAGTTTTTTGGGGATCGTTGGGGAATATAGTATTTTAAATAATTATATCTATGTTCTCGGTACAGAAAGTTGATTCCTTCAGGTAGGACATTTGAAAGGATAACTGCGAAACTTTGGAACTGATATAACTTTGAAAATAGTTTTTATTATAAGTGGAAGCGCATATTTTCTTAACAGTTCAAGCCAAAAACGCTCCTGGCAACATGTATTCATAATTCAGCTTAAAGTAGTATACGAGTTAGGGTAGGGATACAATTGCTCAAGAAAATGTGAATAGGCTGTAGACTGTCATTCTCCTCAAAGCAAGTTACAATTATATATACATTGTGGTAGTTTTTGTGTACTCACACCTAGGGAGATGTACATTATTGTTGGAAAAATAGAAAGTTTGCATTTGGCCTCCTTGAACATACGGATTCACAAAAGTTCATAATGTGTTTTATGCCATTTATGCCATTTTGTTAACATTTTCTTGCTTTAAAATATATGGATGACATCTCAATAACACTCAGTGTGATGTAACATCCATAACTATAGCTTTCCATGTATTAAAATATTTGTCGATATTCCGTAGAGATATAAGCATAAAGTACTTGTTATACTCTGAGACGTGGTGTGATGGACTGATGTTACATTGCTTTTAAAGGAGGGAAGTGGTAACGTAATGTACAACTAGGTTACGACTGTGGGGCACTTAATAGCAAGCCTTTAAACAATGTGCTGGTGCGTTCAGATACACTAAAGCAACTTAACCGTTTTATGCCCTGAATCATTTATATTGGTGCATTAAGCTCAATTAAGGGAG